AATCAATGGTGTACGTTTGGTTCAATTAAGGAAACAATATAGTGGTGAGTGTAGGCAGGATGGAAGCAATTCGAGAGAGCGAGAAAAGGAGAGAGAGAGAGAGTAGAGAGAGGGATAGAGGGAGAGAGGGTCCGCTCTCTCTCTCTCTCTCTCTCTCTCTCTCCTCTCTCTTCTCTTCCTCTCTCTCTCTCGTCTCTCTCTCTCTCTCTCTCTCTCTCTCTGCTTTCTCTCTTCGCTCTCTCTCTTCTCTCTCTCTCTCTTCTCTCTCTCTCTCTCCTCTCTCTTCTTCTCTCGCTCTCTCTCTCTCGCTCCTCTTTTCTCTCTCTCTCTCTTCGCGCTCGCGGAGAGCTCTCATAGAGCTAGACAGACTTAGTCTCACGCTCCTCTCTCTGATCACTCTGCAATTTTTCTATTTGATCATGGATCTTCTAATGTTCAGAAGTCGTGGTCAACAAGTTTTTGAGAATGACACAGTATTGGTCTCACAAAGTTTGCTGTCTTCAGTGTTTTTAGATATTTATTGTCATATGTTCTGATGGTATACTGAAGTAGAATTACAGGCATTCATACTTGTCAAGAGGCTTTTCTTGACAATTACATTAAGTTTTATGCAAAGAGCACTATTTGCAAGTGTTGACCTTCTTTTCAAACCTCTGGGCAATCCGCGCCTGGCATTCTGTCCAAGTTTTAACTTCTGGGCCACGCCCCGACTGATGGCACCATTCTTTGCATAATCAATGCTTGGAGTTTGTCAGAATTTGTGGGTTTTTTTGTTTGTTCCACCCCGCCTCTTGAGGAGTTGACCACAAAGTTCTCAATGTGGGATTAGGTCTGGGGGGGGGCGTTTCCTCCTTCCTCCTCCTCCCTCCCCTTTCCAGTCCATGGACCCAAATATCAATGGTTTTGTGTCCCGTCCCCGAGCCACTCTTAGTTTAATCACTTTTTCTTAATGTCAAGGTAGCTCCATCATGCTGGAAAAGGGCATTGTCCCGATGTTTTGGTTTCCCTTGAGAGCATGTTTGCTTCCTCGCGCTGCCCCTCTTTGACACCGATTCCATCCCTCATTGGGCCTTTTTCACTTCATTTCAACCCTTATTACTCTGATCACATCTTCATAACATTCTGAGTGTATGCAAAATTGCCATCATAAACTGAGGCAGCAGACTTTGTGAAATTAAATTTGTGGTCAGTCTCAAAACCTGACCACGCCTGTAACTCTGGCTGGCTGATCTCGCCCTCTGCTGCGGTGGCTGATCTCCCCTCTGACTGGATGACTGATCTCCCCTCTGACTGGGTGGCTGATCTCCCCTCTGACTGGGTGGCTGATCTCCCCCTCTGACTGGGTGCTGATCTCCCCCCCCCCTCTGACTGGGTGGGCTGAAAAAAAAGAAAAAAAACAAAATCTCCCCCCCTCTGACGGATGACTGATCTCTCCCTCTGACTGGATGCTGATATCTCCCTCCCCCTCTGACTGGGTGGCTGATCTCCCCTCTGACTGGGTGGCTGATCTGGGTGGCTAGATGGACTGTGTGTTATGTTACTCACTCTGTAAACTCTGCGTAGCAGTACATGAGGCGGCCGTATGTAATAGGTAATAGCACCCACAAGGCACAACCACAGCTCCTTCTAGAGATTGCGAGAATATAGACGAAGAGAGAGAGATAGAGTACTGAGAGATATATAGGATAGGAGAGATACAAATCGATAGAGATAGAGTCTAGCGCTAGAGATTCGCGCTTCTCTCTCTCTCTCTCTTAGCTCTATCCTCTCTCTCTCTCTCTCACTTTTAGAGAGAAAGATATTAAGGTTAAGTGACATATATTGTACTATTCAGACAGAGACAGAGGCTCTGAAATGGTACCCTATCCCCTATACAGTGCACTACTTTTGACCTGGGTCCTATGGGTCCTCATCAAAATTAGTGCACTTGCAGTAATATAATGCCATTTGGGAGGCAACCAGATCAAAGCCTGCACAGTTGAATGAGGTTCAGCAGCAGATCTGAGACAAGCATTGCTTTCACAGTTAGAATAGCAGTATAGTATTATAATACCACTGCAGTATACTGTAGGTAATTAACATTCCGCTAAATTAACCAAAGCAAAAAACAAATTAGTTTGATTGATTTAATTTATTTGATCATTAAAAGCAAAGGGCTGCTCCACTCCACTCCACTCCATAAAGCCCAAAGTAAAAATCACTGTCATTGAAACCAGCAAAAAATACACACAAAATAATAAAACAAATAAAAGAAAAATGCTATCTCATGCTCAATCATGGTAAACTAAGCATGCTCTGGGATTGGCTTCGATCTATGATTAATGTGGTACTATTCAATTCTATTCAGTATTATTCAGTACTATTCAGTTCTCTCTCATCTCCTCTGCGTGTTGCACTCCCAAGGTGACCTGGGCTCAGGGGCTATCCTGTTCTGTTGTTGTTGTTGTTGTTGTTGTTGTTGTTGTTGTTGTTCCTGATCCTTGACAAGAACCGCTGCCATGGATTCCATTTGCGCTCTATTGATTATGACGTCCATGCTGATATTTATCCTATTACCTCACCTCTCCACTCCAGTGAAGCACTGAATGATGTTCAGGCTGGACAGTCTGCTGTCCAAAGGTATTAAACAAGGCTGACTGAGGTGGTGAGAGGTTACGACAGGTGAAAGGTCAGAGGTTAATTAAAGGGCAACCTTTCAAGCCTCTGTGGAATTTAAATTGAAAAAGAACGCTCTCCTGAAGGTTCTAAAGGAAGTCAATGATCTATGGAACCAGGATGTTTATATGATGTATCACAGACATGATCTATGGAACCAGGATGTTTATATGATGTATCACAGACATGATCTATGGAACCAGGATGTTTATATGATGTATCACAGACATGATCTATGGAACCAGGATGTTTATATGATGTATCACAGACATGGTCTTAGCCTCTCCTGTCCTAATCTAAATGAGGAAGTCTCGTTCTGCCTCATACCTGACATTACCCTGTGATTCATGGGGATATGACCTTTTCAGATAGCCTATCACTACTTTACTATTTATCACATGGCACTGTCAAACACCACTCTCAAATCCTCTTGACACTAGAGAGCAAATACTGCACAGCAAACCGTTTTCATTACAATCACTACCGCTGTAATCACTAGAACTATTACTTGTATGCAATATAAATAGATTGGTAAATTATAATGAAGTTATATAACGGTAAATATTATGACTTATTTTTCTATCCTAACACCAAAGGTTCTACCATATTTGCTAAAATGTCAACGTTTAGCTCATCAGCCTGCTTTTGCAGCTGTGATATTTCGGTCTCAGTCTGCGCGGAACACACACACACCCCCGCGGTGACGGCAAAAGCTCTGTGTGACTGGTTTGCTCTTCACTGGCAATCAAGCAGCAGTCAGAGTCCGAGGGAAGCTCATTTGTCATGATAAATACAGGCTGTAGGGTTTCAATCCTGCTCTCAGTCCAAACCACACACTGGCCGCCCTGAATGATGTGGTCCATGAAAGCAGTTTAATGTTTTTTAGACGTTCTCTAAAGTTTGGTAATCTGAATTCCGCTCACTGTGAACCAGAGCAAAAAAAAAAGTTTGTCCCCTTACGAAAATGACTTTACATTTTCAAACCAAGTTTGGGTGTTTTGGCTAGTCTCTGAAATGTGGTTCTAGGTGCCAACATTAGTGTTGGTGAGTGCTGATCTAGGGTCTAAATTGCAAAATAATTAAATAATTGTGAGGGTTGAAATGTTACCATAGACGGTTGGGTTGTCCATTAGGCTATGTGTCATTGGCTGTATCATAGCCTGGTTAAATCAGAGCCCTGGCTTTAGTCATGGACCATAAAGGACAATTAGAGATGCTGTCTGAAGCCTTATTATTGTCAATCTTATTGTATCTGTATACCACAATTAAACACGGCTGCTTTCCAATCCACTCAAATATATGCTTTATATTTGGTTCTTAATAATCTGACAGCAAGAACAGTGACAAAACCTGAATCTCGGAGAACAAATATAATTGTGATAACTGTTATATGAGCCCTCCTGTAGCTCAGTTGGTAGAGCATGGCGCTTGCAAATCCATGGTTGTGAGTTCAATTCCCACGGGGGGGCCATTATGAAAAATGTATGCACTCGCTAACTGTAAGTCGCTCTGGATAAGAGTGTCTGCTAAAATGACTATAATGTAAATATGATTATCAGCTAGCAGTTCCGTCAAATAGTGGATCAAGTTAACAGAATATCCACTGTTTCTGTGCATGTGCACCTTCATCTTATTGTTAAGGTAACAGAACTGTCTAATTAGCAAACGTGCATATCTGAATGGATGGCAACCTTTGCTTTCACGATGGGAAATCAGTTGCTATAGCAACGATGCTGGTCTGTATGATAACAAGGGAATTGTATCCATTAGGTCAGTGGTGGAATTCTCAGCTTGCAAGACGCATTTCCGTGGAAATTCTACAATACAGTATTCAGCGAAGAGCGCTTTTGGTCTTTGAAAGATGCAGGTTTCATTGTCTTGCCTTTACAAATGTGTCTGTGTCTTTCTCATGTTGGCTCTTTAGCACATGAAAGAGACGGTGGAGCGGGGAGAAAGGGAGTCTCGCCGTGGTTTTGTATCAGTCGGAGTGCTGTCTGTCTGTCTCCAAGTGTGCCTGAACAGTGATAGCATGTGGAGCTCCACAGTGGCTCCCCACTGGGCACATACATCAAGTCAACGTCTATTCCACCTTTATTCCAACTAGCTCTCATAATCTCACGTCAGAATTAGACGTTCATCCATGTTTCTCAAACGTCAAATTTGGAAGTTGTTGCAAACGTCAAATGTATAAGTGTTTAAGGTTAAATTTAGGCATTAACTCCACATTTTTAAGGTTAACGTTAAGTTTAGGCATTGACTCCGAAATCTTAAGGTTGGGCATTAACTCCAAATGGTTAAGGTAAGGGTTAAGGTTTGGGACACGTTTAAAACAAACATTTCTATAACACGTTTTTATTGCTGGATTTGAACATGCAACCTTCGGAATCTAGAGGCATCTGCCATCCCCATTCACAACGCCCTCGCAAAACCGAAACCTACTTGAACGTAACAGTGCTCAATGTTGCCCCTAGTGGCCGGTTTCTATGTTATCTTCCAATGTCCTCAGACATGGATGGATGTCGAATACTGACTTGTATCAAGGGTGACCTGGCTGGTTTATTCAATGTCATTTCATTGAAATTACACGGAAACAATGTTGATTCAACCAGTGTGTGCCCAGTGGGTCTGATCAAAGCCTATTTAACCCCACCATCCAGCCCGTTAGCATGGAGCAGCAGAAATGCACACCAGCACATTAACACAGAGCAAACATTAAAGAGTAAAACTGTTTGGTTAACTTCTCATTGACTCGTCTTGGAAAGATTCAGACTGGATATACTTGTACAGTGATTAAGCCCTCTGATTTACTCCAGTGTTGGTTAACTTCCAACTCTATCCATGATGTAATATGCAGGAAAGTGTGTGTGTGTGTGGGGGGGGGGGGGATCCCTGTTTCTAACATGAATAAATTTACAGCACCCTAAAATAGCTCGGCCCACTTTGACCTTTGACCTGTCCTTTGGTGCAGGGGGGAAAGAGACAAATGCAACAAAATTATGAACACACTCTTACACACGCATTAACTCAAACTGTTGGCGTCTAAGCAGGGGCGGTGTGTTCAATAGGGCGATATGGGCGACGCACTGCCAAACGGGAAAAGGAAGGGATTTTTTTTCTAATCAATTATATCACGGCAACAGTAGTTATCAGTGTTGTAATCTAGACGTCTGATCTGCCACAGTGCCACTAAATGTCCAATCAGGCTAAAGTCGTGCTTCAAATGGCCCCCCCCCCCTTTTGGGGCGATTTCAGTCAGGTTGAAAATCGCCCAGAAGTCTGTCATAGACTCCCATGTAAAATCTATTTTTTTCAAATATCAGAGCTTTCAATACAATCTCTATGGGTTTCTGAGGGCTTGCACTTACGCGCTTTCGTCATACGTAACGTAACCATGAACGTAACTAAGAAAAGAGCGGGTAGCCTCATCAATCAATTCACGTACTACTATCAAGATGGCTATAGCGTTCAGTGCAACTCGATTGTCTCTTTGAAATAAGTTACTTTTTGTCGGCGAACAAATCAAGATAAATTGGCAACGAAACAATTAGGACCTCCCAGACCAAATTTAATAATTCAACAGGTTTCTACTAAAGGGGGGAAGTCCTACACCCGAGGATTTTCCAAAAATTGGTACGAACGAAAAACCTGGCTAGCAGGCTGCGATGTAGCTAATGCAGTCTTCTGCTACCCCCCTGCTTACTCTTTCACCCTGAAGGCGGCACGGCAGACAGCACCGCTTGGACAGCGACTGGTGTGTAACGGACATGCACCATCTTTCAGGAAAGATTAAGAAACATGAGCTGTCAAAGACCCACATGGATAGCTGTTTGAGATTGTCTGCTTTGGGGAGAGTGAACATTCCCACTCAACTGGATGAGGGATACAGGCTAGCTGTCCGCCGCCACAACGATGAGGTTAGTGTTGATAATCACAAGTTTACTGGAGAACTGAAACTGACAAGGCTGACAAGATAGGACCCTTTTGTCCATTGTTATTGGATAGGAACATAACTTATAACCAGCTCCTGACCTAAATAGATCTTAGCACAACATTTTACTCAACATATCATATTCCATATTCACTATAACAAATATATTTACTACGACATTAGCAAGAACCGCCACATCCTCAGCCGGCTAATCCAGTGTGTGAAGTTTTGCGGAGTGTTTGAGTTAGCTTTGCGAGGCAAAGATGAAACTGAGGGCTCCACCAACCCTGGTAAGCCAACACTTTTGAGATCAGTCAATAAATGCTTCTGGTATTGACTTATATGCTGCCCCTGTCTTCATGTTGTTGCTGGACATATCTTTTTTAAAATGTGTGTAGGTCACCTAAATCATCAGAAAAATTGCCCCCCCTGAGAATTTTTTCAGGAGCCGCCACTGCGTCTAAGGAAGTGGCTTTTAGAATCGCCACTACACACACATTAACTCACATTAAGTACACTTAGTTCCGCTCTGTGATTGCCATCAAGCACAGGCTTTCCCCCTTCTCCTGTCATGCAGGGGGACTGCAATAAGAGCCAGGAGTGACAGGCCAGAGCTAGTGTGTGCAATGTCTTAATAATGTCTGCTACCAAGGTTAAGTGGCAACAGTAATGGCCTTGATGTACCACTACACTCCCCTATGTATTTATTTGGACAGGGAAGCTTAAACGTTTAAAACCACTCAAATGTAACTAAATGTAATCTAAAATGTAATCTACAGAATCCCAAAAAGTAACTAGTTATCATGAGACGGCCATAAACAATAAGTAGAAATGTGCCATAAAATCTGACCTTTCTGGTAATTTTTTTTAAATACATTGCTGAGGTGTAGTCACTTTTGAGGACACAAGGACAAGGA